ATCTTGGTTTCTCCAGAAGTTTACTCTGAATATACAGGCCATGTGGAGCCATCTGATGTTCTTGATCATTGGAGTAATGCGTTTGCTTTAGGAAGATGAGATGTATACTTTATGACAGCAGTTCTTTCAACAAAATATTTGTAAAGTGTCTCCTAATAGCCTAAGTGTACTGTGCTGGGGGAAGGTGGATTGGAGCCAAGTAATTAAACAAGAGATTACTTGATAGGTCATTGCAATAGTCCAGGCAGGGGCTACTGAGAGCCTAAAGTGGCTTAGTGGGAGTGGTGGTAGAAAAGAGGACTGGCCCTATTACAGAGATGGAATTGATAGGACTTGGTGACCATTTTAGGTGGAGGTGAAGGAAAGAGAAGACATATTATCTACACACACACATATATATATAAAGAGATAATACGCAAATTAGCCAGGATGCTATAACAGTAACAACCACTCAGGATGAGGCTGCACATGCAGGTGGACAGGAGGGGACTGCTGTGCGGTGAGGCAAGCCATGGATGGTGCAGGCCTGCAGAGAGTAGGGCAAAGCAGGGCCCACAAAATGCAGGGAGCAGCAGGCCCACAGAGAGCAGGGAGTAGGGCCTGCCTGCCAGATGTGGTGGCAGCAAGTAGGTAGCCAGCAGAGAGCAGACAGCAGGGCCAGCTTGTCAGCCAGGGTGTGCTGGCAGTCCCGCCTCTGTGCATGAGCTGCAGAAGAAACACCTTTTCTGACTGCTCATAGTCTAAGCTCCCGGTATGTCACTCGCAGTGTTCTTGGTAACTTGTGTGATGAGAATCCAAGTTACTTGCATAACTTGCGTGATCTAGGGTTTTTCCACCTCACTCCTGGAGGAAAAAATGAAGGTCTGCTGTTGAAGGGGCTAAGAAATGTCATATCCTGCCCTAGCTTGTTTGGCTCAGTGGGTAAAGCCGACTGCAGGTTCTGGGTTCGATTCTGGTCAAAGTCATGTACCTAGGTTGCAGGCTCCTTCCTGGCCAGGGCGAAGGTCAGGGCTCGTGCAGTAGGCAACCAATCAAAATGTCCCTCTCACATTGATGTTTCTGTCTTTCCCTCTCTCTTTCCACACTCTTTAAAAGTCAATGGAAAAATATCCTCAGGTGAGGAAGGAAGGAAAGAAGGAAGGAAGGAAGGAAGGAAGGAAGGAAGGAAGGAAGGAAGGAAGGAAGGAAGGAAGGAAGGAAGGAAGGAAGGAAGGAAAGAAATGTCATATTCTATAAAAGACATATTAAAAATGCCTAAAGGAAGTTGTAATTTTTTTGTGTGGTGAAGGGACTAGAGTCCATGTTGATGAAAACACCTTGGCAGCTGCAGCAGCTAGCAGTGGCAGCAGAAGTGGGATAATGGGGGCGATGCCTTCCCCTGATCATCCCAGTTGCCTCTTGCAGAGGTAGGTCAGACTGTGGCTTAGGCCTGCTCCCTGAGGTGTGTGGGCATAAGCTGTCAGTAGGACATCCCCTGAGGGCTCCTGGATTGGAGAGGGTGATCAAGCTGAAGGACACCCCCTCTTGCACAAATTTTGTGAACTTTGCCTCTAGTTATGATAATAATAACCATCAGTATTTGAATAATCAACCATTGTGCAAAGTATTTTGTGTATATCATCTGAATTTCACAATAACCCTTTTGATATATGAGGACATTAAGGCTCAAAGAAGCCGAGGAACTTGTGCAAAGTCATACTAACAGGAGATGGTGGTACTAGACAGTGAACTCATACACTCTGGTTGTATAGACTAGTACCTAACCTCCATGCTATGCTGGCTTCAGAAAGCTGAGAAACTTGTTTTCTTGGCAAAGAAATTTGGCAGTTCAGTGGGGAGACCGGTTTCCCGCTGAACTCAGGCTCTCCCTTTCCCTGTTTATGTGAAGAGGTGGTAGTTGTGGAGGGCTCTGCCTGCTGCTCTTCCATTAGTTCTTCCTGAGCCCCTTTCACTCCTGTGGTGGGAAGATGGACCTGGTGAAGCAGTATAGGAGTTGAGGCTGGTAGACTAGAACCAAAGGCTGCAACAAATATACAAAACTACTCATCCCCAGGCTATGTGGGGCCTGTAGATTTGTTTAGTACCCACAGGGGTTTGTTTGATATTTACTCGAGCCAACATTTAGAAATTAGAGGGCTTCACATAAAATCCCCACGTCATGATTTCCCCTAAAGAATGAGATCTGGCAACATTGGGCCCACATTCCAAAAGACAACCTTGAGCTTCAGCTGCTATGTAGCCTGCAGTGCCCTGTATTCATCACCACTCACAATGTTGGGGTCTGCACTTCACCCCTGGCTGGGCTACCTGATCCCTGCAGGAGGTTGAGTTTGTGATTCCTTGTCTATAATGGCCTACTACAGAGTTTGCCTCCCTGCTCAGCCCCTCACATGATCCATCAAGGAGCCAGGCACAGTGTCAGCAACCTCTTGTCCCACATCCTCTCCAAGCCATAGACTTTTTCCTCTGGTAGCACTTGATTCCACAGAACACAGCCATGAAGGGGGAAGGGTTATCATCAAGTCTTACAATTTATTTCTTTATGGGGTTAAACAAGAGCAGAGAGGCCTCTGCTCCACAATGCAACAAAACAGAAAGCAGTACACATACAGAGACTCTCACTGAAACACAGAGGTAGGGGAAGGGAGACAACTGAATCATAGCCAGGTGAAGGAGGAAGGGACAGGGGACTACTAGGAATCCAGCTTGGAGACTCAAGTCATAGAAACTAGTGCAAGAAAGTCCTACTCATGAAGCACAGTGTAGAAAATGGCATAAGAAAGCTGTCCAGCTCTGCTGCCTGTGGTGGAGGGCAGGGCAGCTTGAGGGGTAGTGTAAGATCTGGGTGGTGGGGTGGATAGGGACAATCAAATGACTTTGAGGTGGAGTGAGGTGCCCCTTTCCCCTGCCACCGGGCAAGGCCCTGGGCTGGTCTGAGCCAGGGGTCTCCTGGGCACTTGGTGAGGGGGAAGAGAGGTTGGGAGTCTCCAAGGGTCCATTCCCAAGGGTCCATTTCCTAGGGCCCTAAGGTCCCCCTTTACTTCCCAGTCCCCTTTTCCCCTCCTGAGGATGCAGGAGTTAGAAGGCAGTACCTAGGGTCTCTCATATCTATATAAGCATTTCTGGAAAGGAGCCAGCACCTCTTTCCCTCCCCAGCTGAAAAGAGCACTCTAGGGATGGGGTATGTGGCTAGGCCCAAAGTGCTGAGGGCCAAACAGAGGAGTGTGTGGGCAGGGCATATGAATAGGGGGAGGGGCACGCTATGAGAAATGAAAAAAACTGGTAGGGAAGGACTTCCCAATCTCATGAAGTCTATATGGGACACAGTTGAGACTCTTGAATGATTCCTTCTCTACAAGGGAAGTTTCCCATTTATCCCCCAGCCAACCAATTTCAGCTGTCCCCTCTCGATTCCCTCCTTGGTTTTACCTGATGTGGCTCTATGGCTACCCACTCCCTTAATTCACTAGCATCACATCCTAGGACACAGGTTCTTCTGGCATCAAAGCTGTGGGCTTGTTCCGGACAGTTCTGGTTTCTTGTTGGCTTTGAGATGTCCCAGGCAATGTGGTCTCCCACTCCCAAGAGATCAGCACAAGGCTAATGGCCCCCAAAGGGTTCTTGATGCCTCTTCTTTCACTCAGCCCTATAACCTGGCTAAATAGTTCAGTTCTGTCAGCCAACAGATGACAGCACATTCTCTTTATTCAGTAGGTCCTTTTTGCCAGTTTCTAGATGTTCTCTAGCAAGGAGCAAGAGTGGCTGGATCAGAGGACCCGCCACAGAGTGAGGAGGAGTCTGGTTGTTTCACTGTTGGAATAGTATATCATAGGGTCAGGTATGAGAAGAGATGAATACTCTTTGGTAGGCTGGGAATGAGGACAGGGTAGGGATGGGGCTCATCTCTGGAAAGCTCTGGGGCAACGCCACCAGATTCTCCTTCATGGAGGCCTGGGCTAGGGCAAGATGGGGAAGTATGGGGACCCAGGCCAGGCCTGACCCACTTGGGCTTAAGTCCCTCCTTCCCATGGAGATCAAAAATGGAAATGTCTTTGTCCCCAAGGCCAAGATCTCCAGGGCAAGAGCGGCCCTTGGGAGTATGTGCACCTTCTGTAAGATATGGCCCTCCAGACAGCGGCAGTCTGACCATGTGACCTCAGCCTTCTTCTTCAAGGCCCAACAACCCATTTCCTGCACTTTAGCCCCACAGGGCTCCTAATACAACCCTTTTTGATTTGGGGAGCTGTCCTTGAGCCTGCCTCAACACTGATCATCCACCTATCCAAAGCCTGATAGCAATATCCCATTTAGCCATCTCTCTAAGCCCTCTGCCTAAACTCTCCTCTCTCCACTCTCTCACCAATCAATTCTGCACCCCATTCCTATCCCTTATTGCCTAGTGTGGTGGGGCAGTTAAACTGGGGTCCTGACCCAGCTGTGACTGTGCACACCTCATCTCCCAGCCTGGCACTTCGCTACTGTGGTCTCATGTGGGCCAAGGTGCACTGGAGGAGGGCCACTGCACCATCTGCATCTGCCGTTGCCTGTAGGGGTATGGGCAGAAGGGAATTAAGGATCTTGGCAACAAAAGGAATGTGAAGGGGGGAAAGGGCTTTTCCCTTCTGGGCCCCCCAACATTCCCTGCAGGGCCAAGGCTGGGCTAGCAGCCTCTTTCCCTGGGGTCAGGGCTCTCAGCAGGGGTGGACAATGCCAGCCCCCCTTTTTTGTTTGCTGAACCCCATAAATGGGGCCTAGGATGGGCCGCCTGCTGCTCCGGCCTTCTTCTCCTGGATGAGTTTTGTAGCACTCGGGGCCCTCTGGCCATTCTGATGGAGCTGCTTTTGGAGTGGGAGTAGGCTGGGGACCATGTGTAGTCCCTCATTTCCCCCAACCCTCCACCTGGTCCTATATCTCCCATGGGAGGAGCCCCATCCCCCTGACCCTGGGGGAGCTGGAGCTTATGTCAGTGTGTGGTGGAGGTCTGTCCTCCCTCCCTGCTGTCACTCTTCCAGAGTCAGGCCCTCATCTAGGGTAGGCAGTGCCTCCAGCCCCAGTCCCCCACCACTCTGGTTGCTGGAGAAGGACACCATGGTATGGAGGAGCATGAGAACAAAGACATAGAGCCGGATCCTGCTGGGGCTGAGGCGGGAGCCCCCAGAGACCGGCAGCAGGGAGGGCTTGTGGCTGATACGGCCTGGGGGGTCATGGCGGGGATGGTAGTGGCGGTACTGTTGGTGGTAGTGGTGGAAATAGGAGTGGTGAAATTGCTGGTGGTGAGTTTTGGGGGCCTCAGACTCCTTGAACTTCTTCTTTTCCGACTCACAGGAGACCCACTGCACGTCACAGCACTTGCTTTCCAGCCGCTTTGGTGAAGTATCCAGCAACCCTGCCAATGGATAAGGAAGGTGTGGTGGAGTGCTCAAGGGGCTAAGGCCTAGGCCTTTCCTAGAGATGAGCTTTTCAAAGCTGGGACTGACTGCTCAGGTAGCCATGCTCAAGACACCTTTCCTCCTGCCCGTTACCACTTTCCTTTTCTAGAGTCTTTTCTCCCAGGAACTCCAGATCATTTCTCTGGGATAGCTCCCTAGATGGGCATGATTTGGATAGAGAGGACTACTCTACTCTCTGCCCCTATTCCACTCGCCCTTATACCAACTTGGGGACCTCATTGCTTGCTCCTCCAGCTACTTACCTTCTTCTAACCTGACTTCCCTGTTGTTCTCCCTGCTACCACACCCCAGACCTGGTGCTTCCCTGGGCCCCAGCCTCCTCCCTCCTCTACAGTGCCCTGCCTTTACCTGTACAGATAAAGCCAGGGAGCCCTCCATACACCATTTCTTCATTGTCAGGGAGCATAAAGGGGCACCGGGTCTGCACCTCCAGGCAGTACTGCTTGCAGGGCACCCAGCGCTGGCATTCCTGCTGGGTCACGCTGAAGTATTCTGAGCACAGCCAGGCCTTGTAGACAGCCTGTGGGGAAAGGAAAGAGTGTCAGCCCCAGGCGTCAGCCCCTTCCCACCTCAGACAAAAGGGATGAGGAGGGTGTACTTGAACTTTGGGTGTGTGTGTGTGCTCACCAACCCAACCCCAGGATCCAGGAAAAGAAGGGTTTGGGTCAAGACCACTACATCCTACCCTAAGATCTACCATCTCATAGCCAGGACTCCTGAGTCCCTGAGTCTGCAATCATCCAAGACTTTGAATTTTTTCACTGGCAAAATCACAAAATGACTCCAATTTCTGAACAGGAAGAGGCCTTCCCAATCATCCCATCCAATCCTACCATTTTACAGTTGGCCCAAAGAGGTGTCCTGACTTGTCTGAGGTTACCTACAATAGGCTCAATTTGAGTTCAATTCAGCAAACATTTATTTGACTGTTGATGGTTAACTTTCTAAATTTAAGGAAGAGATACAATAATCCTTGCTCTATCTCATTAGGGTGTTATGTGGATCAAATAATATGACACAGCCCAGCTGGTTTGGCACAGTATTTGATCATTGATTCATGAACCAGGATGTCATGATTCCTAGTCAGGGTACATACCAATTGAGGGTTCCGTCCCCAGTAGAGGGTGTGCCAGAGGTAGCTAATCAATGATTCTCTCTCATCATTGATGTTTCTCTCTCTCCTTCTCCCTTCCCCTCTCTCTGAAATTAATAAAAATATATTTAAAAATAATATGATGGAGGTCAGAAGATGGCGACCAGCAGGAAGGTAGGGAGAGAGATAGTGTGAGAGAGTGAGAAAGCAATAGAGGAGTGTGTGGACATGGTGTGTGTCTCAGTGTGTGTGTGTGTGTGTGTGTGTGTGTGTGTGTGTGTGTGTGTGTATGTGTGTGTATGTATGTGTGTGTGTATGAGCTAGGAACAGTAAGATTCTGCAGGTCTTCCAAGGGCTGCCAAACTGGGCAGTCTAAGATGGTGAAGTCCCATTCCCAACGCGGACACTCTAGGGCGGCAAGTGTGGAAACAGAGACCAAGCCATCTTGATAAACACAGCTGCTTGAGATTAGGATCCTGGCTTCAGCATCACCCAGTCTGGTCTCAGATGCAAACCAGGACCCTGCAGCCACTGGGGAGAGAGACCTGCGATCACAGCTGCAGACCCACAGACACCAGGAATCCAGACATCCTGGACACAGATTTCTGTGAGTCACAGAGCCCATCCCCCTCCCTGCAGGCTTCCAGCAGCACCATAGGAACTGCTAGATCCACCCCTCACACAGGGCCTGCAGAGCCCCTGTAGGAATTTGAGCCTGGGCATGCACAGACTGGAAATCTGTTCCCTGCAATGCAATTGGGTGACCAAACCCAAAGCCCAAGTCGGGCAGCAGTGCCACCTGACTTCGATTCAGGGCAAGCGCACATGGAAGTCTGTTTTCTGCAGTGCAGGGGCGGACCTCCTGCTGACACAGTGTTACTGTGAAATCCAGTCCCCCAAGCTAACCTGGACCCCAATTCTCTGGGCGGGGGGCAGCACTGAGCACCAATGACTTGATTCTGTTTCTTATTGAGTGCGCCTGTAATCCTTGACTCCCAGTCTCACACTAAGAGCCAGTGACTCCCAATTCTTGGTGCATGCACATACAGGGACCCTGATACTCAGCACAAGGTTGCATGAAACAACACTGTGATAGTTGATTCTTGGTACAGGCACAGGGGACTCTGACTCTTGGCACTCGCTAGGGGACCTGATTTTCAGCACACATCAGCGGGGTCTCTGTTTCAGTGCAGTGCAAGTAGGGTCCCTTATTCTAGGTGCACACATGGGGCCATGCTGAACGCCGATAACGTAGACCCTGGTTCCCACTAACAAATGGCATTCACACATCTTAGTGTCAGAGCTCTTCAGTTACACTTGGGTGGTGTGAAGACCCCAAAGCACATGGCCCAGGTCCATGCAAGTTGACATTTGAACCTTCTGATGATAGTCAGAATTGGGAGATGACACAATCCCCAGAGGAAAGAAAATGAGGAATCGCTAAGAAATGAAATAAGTGAAAGAGAAGCATGCAACATGACAGAAAAAGAATTCAGAGTAATGGTCCTACAATTCATATACTGGATGGATGAGAAAATCAACAACCTATGCAAGAATTAGGAAGAAATGAAAAGTGATATAGCTACAATAAAAAATACCATTTAAGGTTTCAACAGGAGACTATAAGAAGCAGATGACCAAATTAGTGAGTTAGAAGATAAAGTAGAGAAACAACTCAATCTGAACAGCAACTGGAGAAAAAATTAAAAAACAGGAGGAGAGTCTAAGGGAGCTTGAGTACAACACAAAATGAAGTACAAGAAGAGCAAAAAGGATCAGAAAAGCTATTTGAAGAAATAATGACAGAAAACTTCCTGGATATGGGGAAGAAAAATGGTATACAAGTACAGAGAGTACCCAAGCAAAAAGAAGCCTAAAAGACCCACATCAAGACACATCATAATTACAATGGCAAATGTTAATGACAAAGAGAAAATCTTAAAGGTTGCAAGAGTGAGACAGAGAGTTACCTACAAAGGATTCCTATAAAATTATCAAATGATTTCTCAACAGATACACATCAAGCTAGAAGGGAATTGAAGGAGGTATACAAAGTGTTGCAAAGCAAGAAACTGAATCCAAGAATACTCTATCCAGCAAGACTATCAATCAAAATTGAGGGGAAATAAGGAGCTTCGTAGACAAAAAAAGGCTAAGGGAGTTTATCACTACCAAGCCAGCAATGCAAGAAATGCTAAAGGGAATGCTGTAAAAAGAAGAAATAAAAAGGTAAGAAGGAACACAGGCACAAAAATAGAAATGACTATAAACAAGTACCTTTCAGTAATAACTTTAAACATAAACAAACTAAATGTTCCCATAAAAAGACATCGAGTGGCTAAATGGATAAAAAAAAAAAAATACAACCTATAAATATGCTGTCTACAGGAGACCCACCCTAGAACAAGGGACTCACACAGACTGAAAGTGAAGAGATGGAAAATTATCTTTCAGGCAAATGGAAATGAAACAACAACAACAACAACAACAACACACACACACACACACACACACAAAATGGGTAGCAATACTTATATCTGACAAAATTGACCTCAAAGGAAAGGCCATAACAAAAAATAAGGAAGGCTACTTCATAATGCTAAAGGGATCAATACAAGAGGATATAACCCTAATAAATATCTATGCACCCAATGCAAGAGCACCCAAATGCATAACAAAACTCCTGAAAGGTATCAAGGGAGAGATCAACAACAATATAATCATAGTAGGGGACATCACTGGATAAGTACTATAGATTAAAAAAATCAGCAAAGAAACAGCAATCTTAATGATTCAATAGATCAGATGGACTTCATTGACATCTTCAGAACATTTCACCTCAAGGCCACAGAATATATGTTCTTCTCAAGTGCACATGGGACATTTTTAAAAATAGACCAGATATTGGGTCACAAGCAAAGTCTCCCCAAATTCAAGAAGATTGAAATCATACCAAGAATCTTCTCAGACCACAATGGCATAATATTAGAAATAAATTACAATAAAAACAATCCAAAAAACTCAAACACTTGGAAGCTGATTAACATGCTATTAAGTAATGATTGGATTACCAATGAGATCAAAGAAGAAATTCAAAACATTTTGGAAACCAATGACAATAAAAACATAACAATGAAAGCAGTCCTGAGAGGGAATTTTATAGTTCTACAGGCCTACCTCAAAAAACAAGAAAAAATGGTAGTAAGTCATCTAACTCTGAAACTGAAAAAATTAGAAAGAGAGCAACAAGAGAAGCCCAGAGTGGGAAGACAGAAGAAGAGAATAAAGATCAGAGCAGAAATAAATTACATAGAGACAAAAAAAATACAAAAGATCAATGAAACCAAAAGTTGGTTCTTTGAAAAGATAAAAAAGATTGATGAACCTATAGCCAGGCTCACCAAGAAGCAAAGAGAGAGGACCCAAATAAACAAAATCATAAATGAAAAAGGTAAAATAACAACAGACCCCACAAAAATACAAAGGATTGTTAAAAAATACAATGAATAGCTCTAATCCAACAAACTAGACAACCTGGAGGAAATGGACATATTGCTAGAAAAACACAACCTTCCAAAACCCAATCAGGAAGATTCTAAAAATTTCAATAGGCCGATTAACTATAGAAGAAATTGAAGCAGTAATCAAAAAGCTGCCAGCAAACAAAAGCCTGGGGCCAGAAGGCTTCACAGTGGAGTTATACCAAACATTCAAGAAATAACTAAAACCTATCCTCTTCAGACTATTACAAAAAATTCAAGAGGAAGGAACACTTCCAAGCTCATTCTATGAAGCCAGCATTACCCTAATACCAAAACCAGATAAAGTCAACATAATGAAAGAGAATTATGGACAAACTAAAGGCCCAGTGCACGAAATCTGTGTATGGGGTTGGGGAGGGGGGGGGGTTGTCCCTCAGCCCATCCTGCACCTTCTCCAATCTGGGACCCCTCGAGGGATGTTCAACTGCCCGTTTAGACCCAATCCCAGTGGAATTGGGTCTAAACGGGCAGTTGGACATCCCTCTCACAACCCAGGACTGCCGGCTCCCAACTGCTCACCTGCCTGCCTTCCTGATTGCCCCTAACCGCTTCTGCCTGCCAGCCTGATCACCCCCTAACCACTCCCATGCCAGCCTGATTAATTTCTAACTGCTCCCCTGCCAGTCTATTTGCCCCCAACTTCCCTCCTCTGCCGGCCTGGTGCCTCCCAACTGCCCTCCCCTGCTGGCCATATTGTGGTGGCATCTTGTGTCCACATGGGGGCAGGATCTTTAACCACATGGGGGCAGCCATCTTGTGTGTTGGAGTGATGGTTAATCTGCATATTACTCCTTTATTAGATAGAGGCATGGTGCATGGGTGGGGGCCAGCTGGTTTGCCCTGAAGGGTGTCCTGGATCAGGGTGGGGGTTCCCTTGGGCTGTGG